TTTCATCTCTATTTATACATGTTTTGGTAGCTAAAAAGATGAAAAAAAACGGTCATAACGGTAACTAACGGTAACTAACGGCTAGTTTGACTTTCTAACGGCTAGTTTGACTTTCTAACGGTAACGTTGACTTTTTCGTTGACCGGGCCGGGCCCATAACCGGTTGCGTAACCGGTTCCAGTCCAAAAAATACGAAATACACTAACCGGTTCGTAACCGCCGGTCCTTAACCGGTTATGGCCGGTCCCGGTCGGTTACGGTTATGAGCCGGGCTCGGTTCCGGGCCTCCGTCGGTTACGGGCCGGGCCGGTTACAAATGGCCATCTCTACTACTAGGCATGCAATTGGCCTCGACCCGTCGAGTAACCTGGTCCACTCGCCCCGGCCAGGAATTCCCCGATAAATTAGGTCTCGGTATTTTGGTCGAAAAAATCCATCTAAAATTTCAAATATTTTGGAAAAAAATAAAATTAAAAACACATGATTCCTGTATAAAACTGCCCAAAGACGATTGCAATAAACTGTAATCTAAAACTACAATTAGAGTGATCTAAATTCATCCACATGTAACTACACATAAGCAATGGAAAACTAATGTCCGTCTAGCTAAAATTAAAAGGGGGAGGGGATGGTGTAAAGCTAATTGGAACACCGGTGAATCTAGCTACTTGCTCCATCATTTGTCTCATTTGTGTTGTTTGTTGTTGTACCTAGGGGAGCGGAGGGAATGGTGTAATGCTGATTATAACACCGTTGAATCTAGCGGCTTGCTCCATCATTTGTCTCATTTGTGCTGCATCGTGTTGTTTTACTTGTTGCTTTATTCGGTGCTCAAACGCCCGCTACTCCTACACAATCTGTTCATCTCTCTTTTTAAGTTTTTCCTTCAGAAGTCGTACCTTCACTTGTTCGACACAAATCAAGAGTTATTCGCTTGTGGCTTAATGGACTGAATAGGTTGTATATCTAATTTGATACATAGTTGTTCGGTTTTAACTTAATGTCTCAGCAAGGAGCTTATTCGGTCAGCCAACCAAAAGAATTGAAGTCATAATGCATTCAGCCCTTTTATTTCCATATATACCTCATCATAATACCTAACCGAGTATTGTGGGTCTTATTATCATTAATAAGCCAAAGTGGGTTGTGGTGGGTCCAAAGAGATCGTTTTGGTCTAAGTGAATATAAAACTTCATTGATAATACACTTAGACATCTTAAATATTACAATCTAGCACACATAGATTCATTAACGACCAAATATATTTTTGATAATTATGTATTTAGTAGATTCATTAACGGATACCAAAAATTAATAATTTTAATTTATTTAGTAGAATCAAATTATTATTTTTTTATCTATTTTCGTCAGATTTTCGATGGATAGACGTATTCGATCGAAAATCCATCTAAGACATGAAGTAATTATTTTTAAAAATATATATTATTAATGATTCAAATATATTGTGACAGATAATTCAACAATTCGACGAGTCTCAACGGAATTTTTTTTTAAATTATATTTATTTTAATACTTTCGATGGATTTTCGACAGAATTCTTCGACAGATTTACGATAGATTTTAAAAACAATAATTAATAATTATTCGAATATATTTCAATGGATTTTCGACAGAATTCTTCGACAGATTTACGATAGATTTCAAAAACAATAATTAATAATTATTCGAATATATTTCAATGGATTTTTGATGGAATTTTTTGACGAATTTTTGACGGCTTGCAGTATTTGTGACGAATCTAATGTTCATCGATAATTTTCGATAATTCGTCGGAGACTTTCAGATAGAAAATCGACAACTATCTATCTATTGATAACCGGTCACAAATCTATCAAAAATTTGGGAGAAAAAGTTAATTAATATTTTGTTGCTTATCCCTCTAAAATCCATCTAAATTTTTGACGACATTTTCTATCGAAAATTTCCGGAAAAAAAAAACTTAATTTTGTAATAGTGTTTTGTTCATTCAAACGGGGATTCTGCACGAACAAATCAAAAAATAAGTCATGTCTGCCAAACATGACCTAATTTTAGATCGATACTTTGTTTAATATATTTTTTCTTAAAAGTTTTATTTTATGTCTTAATTTATCTTTTTAAACTAAAAGAATATGTATTTATGTTTTATTTTTAATCTGAATTAATTATATTTTCATTCAAATAATTAATTTAATTTGTGATCAATGTTAAAACTAAATAAATAACGATATTTTAATCATATATATAATCTAGTAATAAATATATTTTAGTTATATATTTATAAATCATGTAAAAAGAAGAGTTAAAGTGAAAAACATAAGAAAAGATTTATACTTTGATTACATTTTAACAAGTTTATATAAGTTTCGTATTAACTATTTTATATGACATTATAGACACTAGTGTCTTATAAAAAGATGAGTTTATAGGACATTTCTCAAAAGTGTCCTATAAAATAACAAATAGGACATTTATTTTAAAAGTGTTATAAAAACTTGTTAAAACCTCTAAAAGCATCATATTATTTTAATGCTTCTAGATAAGACACTTTATAGTCTGATCTTATAAATCTAAGTTCTATAAAGTATTCTATTATAACGTTTAGACAATCGAGACATCCTATAAAACCAATTTTGTTGTAGTGATTAAGAAACAAAATGTGAATCAACAAAGAACCACACGTATTAATGGTACAAGAATAGCATCAACAGTCATTACAGTATAGATAGCGTATGACTAATGCAACGTATAATAACGAAAACAAAGATTAAACTTGTTGATTCTACGAATATCTTATTCGGGAATTATATATCCCTTGTAAAATTCATTGATTCAACGAAATAAAATCTGAAGAAAACAAACAACGCGAGAATACAAACCAAATCAGAAAGTATTCTAAGCTTATTTAGTCACAGAATAATACCAATGATCTTTTGCAGATGAACTTTGAGTAGATTATATGAACCTGCAGATTAATTGGATAAAACTGTAAACAGATGCCTTTTGACACATTGAAACCCTTGAAAGTTGTTGTGTTCAGTCCAGTTCGTTATCAAGCAAACCTCATGATGAACATAGAAATCAATGTAGTTTTGTTTCCATGCGGATTGCACAAGAAACATTAAAGAAACCCCTACAAAGACAAGTGTCTGTGAGTGAAGACAAAAACCAGATGTCCTTATGGGAACTACATGTAGCTAATCATGATCATGTCGAAAGATCCTAGCAGTCGTAAATTACGGCGAAAGCTTAACGATTACATTATATGTTATTCGTGCTCCTTCAATCTATAAATGGAAGCCGAATGTTCTTGGGACCTTCCCATTTTGTCCTTAACACTGGTTTTAATGGCATTTCTTTATGTTTGGGACCACAATCTCACTTCTGGATGTTTAAAGGGACCATGCCCAGTTTTCAAGCGTGGTCTTTCACCATGCCTTTACAACCCATCAAGCTCATTCAACCCATTAACATTCTTTAAACATATATACTTAGCTTTCTTTAAACAATAAACAAATATCAACAGTTTTTCTAACAAAGGTAACTTTATGGGCACCGTCGGCAGTGACTTCATTGTACCAAAGCTCTTTAATTTCGATTGTTTGGAACCTCCATTCTCTCTAATTAATCAATGTGATTCTGTAATTCTTACATGGTGTAAATCAGATTTACTACTTTAGGAACTCGACACTTTAGTATGCCCATTTAGCCTTTGTTAAAGGGGGCGTGTTGGAGTCTTACATCAGTTAGATGAACTTAGTCCATTTTTCTTCCATATATATATATATATATATATGTTGGAACATCTCTTCTCTTGTTAAAAAGACTCTTTTAGAGAGTAATTTAATGAGCTATGTAAGTGTTCTCCCACTTGATGACAATGCTAGCTAATTCGGTCCGTATAGTTCCATGTTGCTTTCTTGGTACTCTTGAAACTCGCCATTGGCTAATCATGCACTTACGACATGGTGGACTCCTGGCCATGAGATCATTCATATTTCAAAGGTCCAGATGAAGCACATTGTCCTTCATTTACAACTCTACATCAAATTTGAAGCTGAAAATGTAGATAATTTGACATTGTGACTATGTTTCTTTTCTTTTTATGTAAAAAATGAATAAACTAATCATTCATTTCTTCCAAAATAGTCTTGATCTTTGAATTAGATAAAAGAAAGACAATGAGGGCAAACAGTACATGACTTGCATATATATATATATATATATATATATATGTGTGTGTGTGTGTGTGTGTGTGTATATATGTATATATATATAGAATTCAGAAGGTTACATACAGTAAAGTCTAATTTTGTTCGGCTCACTGTCGCCTTGGCCAACTCCACTAACCCTCTCCTTATAAATTTTATAGAGGACAATCAAATCCAAATCCAACACGATAGCTAGTGGAATCTTTTCTGACATCCGACATGAGTTGCACGAACCCTACTTGCTTCTTCTGCATTATGAAAGAACCAAACTTGCTGATCAGACGAGCAGGAATCAAGAAATGCTTCAAAGAAATTCCATCAATCAACGAGCAAGAGCGTGTACTTATTCTAAGTAGTCTTTGGAACATTGCCATGACTCAACCCGAAGATCCAGAGTTTCCTTCCCTAGGTATTTTCAAATGCATGGTAAGCTTGCTCCATAAGAGCATCAACGATAAACCATGGCTTCTTGATGGCCAAAACGTATATATACCATATTATGCAGCCCATATCGTGGGATCCTACACCATGAACAGATTCGAGTTTGCAGAAAAAGCTGTGGAATCTGGTGTTATTCTGCCATTGTTGGATCTTATGAGAGGAAAGATGAGTTGGTTGGAGCAAAGGGTTGCAGTTAGAGCACTTGGACACCTAGCAAGCTACGACAGTACATTTGAAGCTGTTGCGGTTTATGAAGAAGAGGTAGTGAAGCTAGCCATGGGCCTAGCCTCTAGCTGTGGTGAGGTAGTCTATAACGAGTTTGTGGCCCTTAAGGATGAGAACAAGAGGGTGGAATATCATAAAAACTTGATCACTAGAGGGGCTGGAGGGTTAGAGATGGAGAATAGAAAGGCTGAGGAATGGGCTAGCCAAATACAGTGCTGGTCTCTACACCTACTAAATTGCTTTGCCATTAGAGGTAGGTCCATAGATCTTATCTGTAATAAAGAGTTCTTGAAGGACTTGAGTTCAATGTGGGGTGGCTATGTGAATCACACATCACCTGCTGGGGTCGGGATGATAAGGATCTTGTGTTATACTCGAGTTGGAAGAACAAGAGTTTCAGAATCTAAAGAAGTTATCGAGAGTATCTGCAACCTCTCAAGGTCTTCGGACGATTGGCAGTATATGGGGATCGACTGTCTTCTATTACTTCTCCATGACCTGAACACGAGGTACAAAGTTCTTGAAATTGTATCTTTTTATTTGTTTGATTTGGTTGAGCTCAGGAAACTAGGAGAAAGGTCAAAGCTAGGCCAGAAAATCACAAGGGCACTGCTCATTGACTTCAAGAATAGGAAATCAAGAATCAAGAACCCTGAAGTTGAAAGAAGACTAAAAGAAATTTGGGTTTCAAAAGTTGATAGGAACAGGAGAGAAATATTGATGTCTGATGAGAAACTAGAAGAGAAAAGAGTGCTGGTGAGTCTAATAAAACAAGCAGCGAATCATAGCTTTTGGTTAGGAGAGATAGAAACTGCAGTGGTGAAATACACAGAAGGTATAAAACTGTGTCCAACAAGACTAAGGAAAGAAAGGATTGTGCTTCACAGTAATAGAGCTCAGTGTTACTTGCTTCTTAATAATCCAGATGCTGCCATTAGTGACACTACCCGAGCTCTTTCCATCTCAAATCCAGCAAATTCTCATGCCAAGAGCCTGTGGAGAAGATCTCAGGCTTACTACATAAAAGGGATGGCTAAAGAGAGTTTGATGGACTGTTTGATGTTCATCAAAGCTTTTGTTACTGCTGACAAGAAAAAACATGCAAAAATCCCTTACTATGCAGTGCATATGATCAGAAAGCTGATGGATTCCACATGGTTTTTCGCATCTGCCAAGTCGAAGTTATCAAACAATTGTACCAGTAATCTTGATGCAAGCTCATCTAGCGATCCTGGAAGAAGTAAGGAAGAGCTCACAAACGATGAACTGCTGATAAGGAGGGCGATCAATGAGAACAAGCATTTGATGTCAGGTAAGACTCAGCCTTTCGTGTCGGGTGTGTATGATTAGTCATTCGGAAACTTAGATGTGATTTTCTCAATCAAACGTCTTTAAGTAGTACTCAGTTCACCAAAAAGAAGTTTACCATATCCAAGTCAAAATCAGTTTTATTTATAATAGTGTCTAGAACGAAACGGGTTGTTGATGATTGGGTGTATTACCAAACTTTTTGCAGGATTATATACCATTTTAGAAGAACCTGTGATCAGAAAAGTTAGCCAAGCTACCAGGAGAAAGGTGTATAGATATCGAAGGAGAAAGAACACTTCCATGGCTCGATCAATATAACAAATACTTAGGTATGTATCAGAAGTTTAGGCAAACATCGGTTTTACCCGTTTCCCACTTCTAGTTTATTAACCATATATCTGTACTAGCTGAGCAATTTAGCATCAAGTATTGATTTTATAAATCAATCTAACACTAATATTTTATGATCAACTTGGTCAGGGTTCTTAACTCTCCCCCCATCACTATCATATGCAAATGCATGTGAGAAAGTGGTGGCACACAAAAGAGGACCACAAATCCATACTAGATATAATAGTATTAACACAGATTGAATAATCATGCATCAATTTTGTTTTATTGGGCATACCATGTTTCATTAGAGCTTCATTTAGGTTAATTAACATGGGGTTTTCTAGCTAGTATGACTTGATCTTAGTGCACACAGTTTGGAGATGAGGCTCAGCCCCTAGAACCCCGAAGGGGGCACAACCACTTTGAACCCCCGCCCCCTTCTTATGGCAATTGTAGCTCCACGGTGGCTTGTGTGAGTGTGCACGTCACACCTCCTAATTCATATGTTAGATTAACAAATAACAAATAAACCCTATTAAATTTTCATATAAATCACAACTGCCTACCAGTAATCATTAACAAAGGTTGGAGGTAGTAAATCTTTTTGACTTTGGGTATTAATTGTTTCTAGAAAGAAAAAAGGGAGTATATAGTGTGCCACCTCAAAAGCTTCAAATGCAGAAACAATGGTGGGCTAGGGTTTGGTAAAATGGCACCAGGAAATGCTTAATTAAATTGGAACAAAGTGATTACTTTTTCCTGTGTTCTTTATATATAGGTAACCCTAATTTCAGCCTTAGGCTATAATGAGAAATCAACAAATTAATGACACTATTTTAAATTACGAAGGGTAATTCCCTTTTTGCAATTTATTTTAAACCTAGGGAAAATGATCAATTACACATAGTTTAATTAGAATTTCTAACTAATAGTTGTAGTAGTTATTTAATATGAAAAATACTAAATCACGAATCCCGTCCCCGAATCGTCTCTCGATTCGCATGAATGGTTCCTTAGAAATGAATTAGGAAACCTCTACTTGGGTGTCGATCTCGCTTTGTAACACATTACGCTTGTGTTAATCGGGAGATCAGTGGATCGAATTCTTTGAGAATGAACTAGTTACCTTTGGCTTTTGAAATTAAGAAAATATTGGATGGATCAAATATGATGCAATGGATAATCAATATATAGTAATATCCAATAATTGGAACCGATCCGATACAACTTCCATTGAATTGGATATGATCGATTGTCCAAGTGTTAATTAATCAGATTGGTTTAGATGGCAAAATCTAACATCTAATTGATGATTGAATTGGATCGGACCCGTTTTAATTTATTCGATTCAACTGATGAACACCCCTAATAATCCATATGTAGGGGCTTTTGGATGAATCACTATTGACCAGGAGGACCAAAAAGTGTTGATACTAAGAAAAGTAATCTTTAACGATGTGCTTAACGACAACATGTTTCAGCCACAAGCTATAGTGATAACACATCGTTGGTGTAAACCGTTTGTGATGATAAATGAACTTTTCACAACTGAAAAAAGTCAGATGTAAAATGCCTCGTTTCTTGTGGTATTTAATTTACAAATAAAAACAATATGTTACAAGATATATATATATATATATATATATATATATAGAGAGAGAGAGAGAGAGAGAGAGAGAGAGCACGTTCAAATGAAAACAATGCATTTCTTAGAAACCGTGTAAACTAATTTCGATCAATAAAAAAATTCTATTTTTTCTAATTAAATTTAATTATTAAGGGTATATTAGTCATTTGCATTGTTTTCTATAAAATATGGAAGTTATTAATAAATCTTAATTAAGTTAACATAATAAAGGATTTTTTATAAATGATAACATATAAATATTTAATTAAATTATAATATTAAAAATTGGATTTTGTTATATTGTGTCTCGGTTTATTATTGCCAAGATTTATGAAAATCGTAAGTTATTAGATCAATAAATCCATGAAATCAGTAATAGAATAAAGAAAAATATTCATGAAACCGGTTTCATACATGGTGAAATTGGTGCATGAAGTAAGTGAAAATGAATATGAAATGAGTGCATGATAAAACCGGTTTCATACATGGTGAAATTGACATGCATGAATTAAGTGAAAATAATTATGAAATGGGTACAACCTGAAATGAGTACATCATAAAATGAGTGCATGAAGTAAGTGAAAATGAATATGAAATGAGTGCATGATGAAACTGGTTTCATACATGGTGAAATTGATGCATGGAGTAAATGAGAATGATTATGAAATGGGTGCATGATGAAATGGGTACATGATGAAATGGGTGCATCATGAAATGGGTGCATCATGAATAGGGTGCATGATGATATGGGTACGTGAAAGAAGTGAAACCATTTCATAATTGGAAGAAATTGGCTGATGAAATGAGTGCATAAAGAAAGTGAAACCATTTCATAATTGATAAGAAAATATTGTGTAATTAGCGAACAGTGAAACCATTTCATTATTACAATGAAACGGATCCATCTACYAATAACAGTGAAACCATTTCATAATTAGATTGAAACAGATCCATCTACCGGAAACTTGAATATGACAAATGTCTCATCTAACATTACGTTGATTTGTGTATTGATGAAACTGTGAAACCATTTCGTTCTTGAAGTAGTAGTAATTTTTTTTTATTCAAAAGGTTTAATTGTGTTAAAATGATTATACTGTGTTTTATTTTTATTGTTAATCTATTTTAATGATGGATGTTATTTTTTTTTATAATAATTGAACATAAAATTAATATATTATTTTACAAATGATTTTGTTTCATTAATATTACGATATACATGATATGGTTACCATTAATATTACCACTACCAAAGTTATCATTTTTCCTTTTTCGGAATTATAAAATAAATTTTTTTTTAATTTCCTAATATAACCTAAATTAATCTTGACTATTGATCAAGAAAATGGATGGATGAGATTGATTTACATGGTTTACACAAATGAAGCCGGTTTTCATTTGATCATTTCTTTCTCTCTCTCTCTCTCTCTCTCTCTCTCTCTATATATATATATATATATATATATGTATGTATAACAAAACACAACTTATTAATTATAATCCAACACACCGCTTTTGCGGTTTAAAAATAAAGAGTGAGATGTATATATATTTGTCATATAAGAAAAGAAATGATTAATGACAAGAAGTTTTAATAATTTGGTTTTAGTGGAATTTTACTCATCTTTTTAATGTCATGACAACAACTATGTGGTTAGGAAAATGTATATAACATTCTTATGTGGTTTATTTTTACATCAAAACCGTAACCTATTAATTCATAACTCAAAGTTTATTTTTATTCATAGTTTATTTTTATTAATGTCATGACCACTTGATTATGAAGTTTTCTTACTTATTCACAAGTATTGGTCATTATTTTATATATCAGATTCAACAATAATCTCAATTAAAGTCACATAATGACTATTATACCTTTTAAGAATAACTAAGGGGCCGTTTATCCAAATACTTATCTGGTAAGCGTTTACCGGTAGAAATCAAATAATCTATGTTACCATATAAGATTATAGTATATTAAAACGGTATCGTATGCAAAGAAATCCATTATTGTAACTCTCAAAAAGCTTATGTTAATTATTGAAAAAAACGTCATATCTATACTATATTATAAAACATTTGGTAAAAATTCTTAAAATTATGCATGAAGTACTGTTTATTGATGCATATTACTTAAAATTTAAGATTACAAGTAAACTATGCATAAATACAACTTATTAAAGCTTCATATTTGAATTCATGTAACTAACTGCAGATAAATATAATCAAATATCGGATAAACATCTCATTTTAAATATAAAAAATCTAAAATATAATTAGGATAATCTTGAGTTATAACAGAATACTTAGTTATTATCTATATAAAAATTATATTATTAAACCAAAATTAAATTTCCTTGTTAGTAAATCTAAATTAAATTATAATAAAAAAATTGAATTAAGGAAATTACACCGAAATACAAAAACTTTTAAAAAAATATTAATTTGATGCTGATATCGATATAAATTTTTTTTTTTAATTTTTATGATATTTTCAAATTTATATTTTATTCAAAACCACATAAAACTGTATTATATTGACATAAAAAAAGAATAAACAAAACACTGAAATCAAGATGTGTCTCGATACATTGCACGAGTACCCTTCTAGTTAATAGAAATACTCATCTTGAAATTAAATTTACGTCAATCGATTTTTATCTTCTTTTTTTGTTGATTAACCTAGTTATCCAACTCGCTATACGAGCCGACTAATCCCAAGACGACCACCTGCTTTGCAAATAGCCCGGAGTCACCACATTTGAACCTCCGTGACCACAAGAGAATTTTTATTCAATTCCTACTTGGATTTGAACCTGAGACCTCCTGGTACTTTTCACCTTTGGAGCTAAGCTCAAACCAATCAGGCACCACCCTTGTAGTTATCGATTTTTATCCTTACAGTTTAACTAAACACAATTAACATTTTCATTATCAGTATCAATATCAATATCAGTGAAGAGTTTATGATAAGTCCTAAGAGTCAAGAATTTCCAATTTAATTGATGCTTATTTTATTTAAAGCATAAAGTAGAAGTGGTTAATGCATGTTTTATATTATTTTTAAATGCTATAAATAAATGCACATGTCATACTGCATAAACATTTGTATAAATATATATACCTAATTTCACATCTGTTTAAGAATAGTGATCTTAATTGAGTAAAGTAGATATTGAAATCAATGGCAATATGATGCCTATAAATCTACTCCATAACCTATGGCTTAATACATTTATTATATCATTTATTTTATGCGTATTCGGATATATGGTTCAGGATTAAATTGATGAAGGTTTAAATGAGAACATTTTTGTTTTATAAAAATACAAGAACAATTATGAACCTCTAAATTAATTAATCCATAATTAAAATTATAATAAATGAAAATAAGATATTAAGGATAGTAGTGTAATTTATGTATTTTTCATTAATTTTATGTAATTTTAATTATTTGCAATGAGATGTGCATTAATTGGGAAATTTAAGACATGACTCCATTGATTTCAGATGTTGTTGGTTTTCATTTGACAGACTTAAAATTAGAAGGAAAACTTAAGACGTGACTACACTAAATTGATTTCAAAAGAGAAAAACAAGAACTGTATTTGGAGACTTCAGGTTCATCACATGAGGCTAGAACGAAGAACTGGGAAGAAAATTTTACGGAAGTTAGTGGTTAAGTTGAAATCAAAGTGTTTATGTTAATGGAAACGCACCTTAAAAAGATAAGATGAAAAGAAACTTTTGAGATCAAACTGAGAAATCCAAAAATTGTTGGAACCGAACCTGAGAAATCAAAAATTTCGGGAACTGGGTGCGGCGGCGGCGACAGACTGACGATGGTGGTGCGAACTATTTTATAGGTTTAAGAAAGTGTAAGGATTTATTTGACAGGTTTTGAAAAGTTTAACGACTTATTTGTCTTAAAAAATTGTCCAATGATTTAATAATTTCAAACATTAAAGTTCGGGTTTTATTGGATTTCTTCCTAAAAAAATTTATTAAGGTATTTTGTTATTTTAATTAAAAAAATATCAATAAATTAAAATTGCGCAACTTGTAGAAGTACAGGGACGAATTATGTAACTTTCTCAAAATAAAATCGTAGTTTTCTTTCTAGAGGTTTAGGCAACGTGGGTAGCGAGGGGGAATCCGCCATTTTCGTGGTTAGGGAGCTCCATCCGGATGGTGCTTACAAATTTCGATGGAACCGGTGTTGGATTCGGTAATCTTCTTATCGTTCTTTTGTGTTTACTTTCCAAATACATTGTCTAATTTTAGCTCTTCATTGAGATTCATCCTGCAAAATCCTCACTAGGTTTCTGTTTTAGGTTTTGGAGCTGGTTGCGGTTTCGGCGTTGGATGGGGTTTCGGAGGTTCTTTCTCTATCTCTCTCTCTCTCACTTCACAGACATTCGCACGATATACACACACTTGTTTCTGCTTCCAATTACTTATATTTTTGTGCATATGATTGATCAATGTTTTACGGATATAGTGCTCCACAAGTATCTGTTCTTCCTTTTCATAAATTGCAAATTGGATTTTGGGCGGTTGAGGGATATCCGTCCAGATTCTGGATTCATATGTGGATAGATTTGGGTTCATAAATTGCGAATTTAGGTTTAGGAGATTGGGGGTACTCAAATTGGGATTTGGTAAAGCAACAAAATTTACTGGATTGTCTTCCAAAGATATAAATAATTGACCCTACAATCATATCAATGGAAGTAACAACCATCGCTCTTATTTACCATGACAAAATAGAGAAAGAAGTATTGGATACTGGTTTTCGATTTCCAAATTGTAGTAAATCTTCTGCATTGTTTCTAGTGTGCCATGGGCTAGGCTAATTTCGCTTAAAGTTTTGGTACATAATGAATCTTGTAGTAATATTGGGATGGGTGTATTAGGAGAAGGTGTTTCCAACTTTCATTCATTTTACTATTACACCCAAGATTGACAGAGGTGCTTGTTTGGTAGCTTACATTTATGCTTAGTTCTAACAATTACCAGCTCCATCAACATTGAAGCTAGGTTTCAATAGGGTGGGCAGAAGTGATACAAAATAATTTTGCACAATGTTTTCATGCGGTGAATGTTACAGCCATTGTTAAGTACATAAGTTAATAGACATCTGGATAAAACTTGCTAAAAAGTCTACTAGTATTGTTACCCTCTAAATTTGCTCAGAGCCAAAAGAACTGGTAGTCCTGGTAGCTTTAAATTAGTTTATGTGGTGGTCCTGGGAGACGATATTACAAACCAAAAGAAACCAAACGAGCCTAGTAAAACCCACTCCGAGGTCGGGTCTGGGGGTGTGATGTACATGGACCTGTCCTCCACCCTAACTAGTTGAGCAGTTGTTTTCATGAATACCCTCAGCCTGCGAAAAGTGTGTGAGAAAAAGAAAGTTTGTCAAAAATTTTGGTAAACTTCAAATGGCACCAGTACTTCTATACATATTGCAACCATATCTAATTGGTATATCCATTCTTGGAAGATAACATGATGAGTAGATGTTTTACCATTAGGGATTTGAATATTATTGGCAGACTAGTCGATACATGAGTAAAATCAAGTGCATTGAGAGTGCCAAGGACTGTTGATCAAAACTAACTTGTCAAACCTGGTAGAATCTAACAAAGAGACATAGCATGGTTCACCTTGGAGGTTTTTTTGCTCTGTAACAAGGACACGTCTCATCAACCAACCATCAAAACTTTCTACCATCTACTATTTTTCCACTGATATCATTCAAGTGTTTTGGTTCTGTATAACAAGCATCTATGATGTGCTCAAGAAATTAGTTGTTAAAGCTGGGGGAAAAAAGAACTCGTTAGAGCTAACAGAAGTTGTCTTCATGGAAACAGTCTCTCTACCCTTTGGGCCTTTGGGATAGAGGTAAGGTGTGTGTGCATCTTACCTTCCTCAGACCCTACCTCTGTATGGGATTTACTGTGTTCGTTTGGCTTTGTTTTTTAGCCAAGGAAAGCCCACCAAATTTCTGAGAGCTGTAAATGTATTTATTTATGTCTTCCGAGGTTTGTAGATGGATGTTGTTACATATATGTTGGTGTCTTGATATTTATGCCATTTGGAATTGCATGTTCTTACATTTGCTCCAGCAAATTGGTTCACTGATTAAATATTGTATCCAATTTAGGTATGCCTTTGAATTTCCTAGGTCTCGGTGCAGGTATGCCATTTAAGATTGCTGTACATCAATAGTACATGTTCTTCATTCGGGTTATTTAGCTAAATGACCTCCTGACAAAAGCTTCTTTAAATCCATGACCTTCTGACAAGCTTCTAGGCATTCTTCTGTATGGAACTGATTCTCTTCTCGTAAGCAGTGACATTCGCAAACCTGTCAAAAGGTCATGGATTTACAGAAAGTCATTTAACGAAAGAACCCCATTCATTCATATATTTTGTTCATATAACACACTCTTCATTATTGGGTATTGAATTTGGAAGGTGGAGGGTGTGGAGTGGGGCTAGGGCTTGGATGGGGGTTCGGCACAGGATTTGGTAGCAAGTACCGATCTTCTAGAGTTATTTTTCAGGGCGTCGATTTCAATAAAAAAGGTGAAACCGAAGGTACAAAACAATCATCTTGACCGGCTTCTCATGTCTATTTGTAAGAGCAGCATTTAATAATCTGTGAAAAAAACTTCAATTCATTACCTGGAGCATGTGTCAATGAAAGTATGTATGTGCAATCGATGGTTCCGTTGGTTTGTTGTATCCATTTGTCATATTAACTTGAACGAAAACTTCGATTTTCCTGGGCAAAATCTGTAAAAGTTTCCTCGATAATACGAAAAAAATTCTTTAATTTGGCGTTTCTATCATAAGAAATAACATCAAATTCAAGATATAGTAATAATTCATATAAAATCGTTTTTCCAAGTATTCCTATATGTAAAATTAATCGATAATTATTTCTAAATTAATATTATCTACCATATCATTTTTTTTATTAACCTGGATATCCAACCTGCTATGCAAGCCTATGATATACCTTTAATATATATATATATATATATATATATATATATATAGATAGATAGAGAGAGAGAGGGGGGGTTGGTTCAAATACTAACCCATTTTTTTGTGTTAACTATGCTAACCAACATCAAGCAATCATGTTCCATCTTTTAGTTAGGTTCAAATGTAATTCACATATTAAGTGTAAGGGTCTTTAGATAATTTGTTATTTTTATGTAACTCTCCAATATTTTAATTGAGAGTTACAAATCTTAAAATATCACTAATTGATCTTCATGTAATAATGACATGAAGTTTCACATTTGTTCATCTTACTGATTTTTACATTTCATTCTTTCTACAATGGTTTTGACATTGTAAATTTCAAAAAAGTCCCTTTTGTAAAGATTCCGTTATAGTCCGAATAATATGGATAATCATAGAGTAAAACAGATTGACGACAATGAGAATGAAAAAGCTAAAAGCGTCTACGAATACACTAGGAATTCGAATTCCGAAAGTGAAGAAAATAATCAAACCGTTCACGCACATGTTCATTCAAACGTCGACATATGTGTTCACTCGTGCACATTTGTGTTCAATTGGTTCACACAATATGTCCATTTGGTTCACACACATGTTTCAATTGTTCATTAGGTTTACACATTGTTTTGATGAAGATTATGAACCTAATTTTTCAATTGTTCATTAGGTTCACATATTATTCATTAGGTTCACATATTGTTCATTAGGTTCACACACATGTTTCAATCTTATTTGGATGTTGTCGCCTGGTAATCCTTCCAAATCCTCCATTGTTTTGATGAAGATTATAAACCTAATATTTAGCTACTGATTTAAGATATTGATCGTTGAGATTGACGGTTTCTTTATTGATTGGAAGTTACAAAAGAGGCTGACAAAATAGGATACGTTAAGATCATTCACTTTTTACAATTCTACCCTCTGAGCCATTGTGAACCTAATTTTTTATTAATATGATAATTAAATAATTAAATTTTTAGTCTCAATAAATGACAATCGTTGCATGTTCAAATCAACGACCAAGATCGGTTAACAAAGTTAACACGATAATCTTGGTTAGTATTTGAACTAACCTCTATATAGATATATATTAACTTACTTTCGTAAATTTTCTTATTATGAAATTGTACTTTTGTTTTTTCTTATTACAATAATATTTTTATTAAGTCATCATACTTGCATTTTTCTTTATTATAACAATATACTTTCAAATTGCTTTTATTACAACTTTGTACTTTCATTTTTTCTAGCTTTCTGTCATCAGAAACAATGATCGTCCAGGAACCTATATCGGCACCGGCACTTACGGATCTTCAATGCCCAGAAAACTTATAGTCTTTAGACGATTTTTTGGAGCATTCTGGTGTCGTGTTTTTTGCCATCTAAGCCAGATTTTGCTAGTTTTTGATCACCCGGATTTGCAAATCCTGAAAGAAATTGCGTGAGTTCCTTTCGCTCGTTTCCATCAAGGCTCACCCAAGGACTCGGTGGCTTCCCTATCGAGACGGATGAATCGTTCCAGGAACTTTCGACTCTCGAGATCTGATTCTCGATCGTGTGAATGAAGTTGCGATGGCGGTCTTTTGCATCATCCGTTGAAGGTTTGCCGTAGCTGCAGATAACGGCTCTTTCAAATTCCTCCAACTGCAACAATTCTACAAAAATCAATCTCATAACGAATTTAGAAAGGATTTACCACCAAAATAGCCATTTATGGTAACAAAATCGAGAAAATAGCCAAAAAAAAAAATCAAAGAACCATGAAAAATGGATGCAAAAATATATCAATATACATGTGAAATCGAAGATAACAAAATTATCGTTCTTTTGATGTAATTAGTTTCGGTCCAATTTTAGATATATTTCGTCCATTTTTTATTTAAAAAATAGGGAGGATATTCTTGTTTTAAAAAAAAACGTTGTTATTAACCCCTTTTTAACCACATCCATTGGATCCTCTTACTCCAACGGTTTGGATCAACTTTTAGATTCTTTTTTTAAGGTTATTTTCGGATCTTTTCCCAAATGGGTATTTGGATGGAAAATCAATTTCGAACGAGACGGATGTTCGCCAATAAAGGTCTATGGCAGATTCCACACCTGTCATTTGGTCCCTTTGGTTTTTGATTGTAAGATGACAAATGCGATCACTAAAAGATGAAAATACCTCTCATTTAACATAAATTTTAAACATTCATTAGAGGGACGAACCAAATCCAGACGTTTTTGCAAACCACGATCATCATCTTGTAATTTTGAAACAACATAAACAAAAAAGATGTGATTTTTAACAAACCACGGGTACCAAAATAGTAGTTTACTCTTTTATTTATTTAACGATAAGATTTGAATATAAATTATTTTGTATAAAATGTAGAATCACAAAAATGTTGTTAACATCTTTCAAATAATACCAAGTAACTTCAATGTGACATTTGAAAAGAGACCCATATGGATTATATTATTTAATTTACTTTTAATATTTAATTTACGATGGTTAATGATAAGGATTATAAATAAAGGAAATCCACTAAAATGGTGTAGAAATAACTAAGATTTAGAGGTTTTAAAAAAGAAAAATAGCCCTTGATTTCGTTAATCAAATTAATTAATTGGTCGAACCCACTTTTTTGTCGGTTGGTGGGCCCAACTCCGATTCAATTTAATAAAGTGGGTCGAATTTCAATGAGAAAGAGAGTTAAGTTGAGAAGCATAAAAAAGATCTCCACCTTTGGATTTACAAAGGATGAGATGCACAGATTAATCATCGTATCAAACGTGATTCATGGATGAGTTTGAGATTAAAGATGATCAAGTGTCCAGATCTTTTCCTATGTTTTTCATCTTAACTCTTTTTCTCACACGATTCCTTCGCCTTACTAAAATTCCCTCAAATAGACTAGATAGAGTTTTATAGTATAATATACGTTCATATAAAATTCCAAGTAACTTACGATTGATTACAGTATATTGGTTCGTTAAAGGGAAAATCCTAACATACAGGGGTATTATCACCGATATATGTTAGGATTTTCCCTTCTCAAGATGCGTTATTGTGGGACCTACAACCTACTTAAAATTATTAGTACCGACTAGAGGAAAACGAGATAACATAACCTAGAGATGATCAGCTATTTTGTTATGAATTATTTTATACGAGAAATGATTGTTTCTTTATACACTTATTCATGGCTTAAGTTGATTAAGACAAACTAAATCTTGTCGGAAGTGCTATCTCTTGATATAGTGTCTACTATATTGATCATTAGTTGCACCAGATGTTAACTAGATAGCAACGATTCATGTTCCATGTGTTCTAGATTATTGTGATTCGTGTTAGATGTCATGTTACCGTTTTCAAGATTCAGCTACTGTAGGAGTTCTGTAAACTTCAAAGCGAACCGTATAACTGATAATTAGCTCATACTTAAAAGATTTGATATCTAATTACGATAAACTACTAAAAATAGTGATCTTCAGTTTATTTTGGCTTACGAACATGATCTTTGTTATGGTTTGTCTTAGTGCAAGATAAATCAGTTGATATCAGTAAAGCTAAAATGGAAGAAATATACTGAACCACACATAATTCAAGCTATAGACGAATCACAAATTTGAGGGAATTTTTCAATTACGATGTAGTTCTTAACGGGTGTCAAGAAGGGTAAATTAGTAATTAAAATGTTTTTGTGAGAAATTGTATACGTAGATATATCTCTATACATGAAAGACTTGACACGAAAAGACAAACGGATAATTTATGAGACCGTTCTTTCGTGTTTTGGTCTTTTAGATGTTTTTTTAATAAGGAAGTCTTAAAACATTGTGTTTAGTATGTTGGATACAGAACATGAACGATCGACCAAAAATAAGGCAAATCCATGGTTTAGGAGACATGATAATTAACGTTTTTGGTTACGCAAACTCATTTGTATTGACGTATGAAACAAGTATATGTCTATAAATAAAGGAATATGTTGGTGGCCAATTTGAAAGGTTTGGAAGTTTGGTGATCCAATTGAAAGAGAACCAAAAATGGCAATTTTAGTTGATCATAAATTTTCTTAGCTTCAACCACCAAAAGGATAACATGAATTATATTATTTATAAATTATAATACAATATTTTTATTATATATACATTTAAATAATAAAATCATTATTTTACATATAATATTCCTATATAAATTATAATATACAACTGTATATTAATAGAGAACGTTTTAGATGCAATCCATCACATTTATACAACCGATACAACATAATTGAAATATTATGAAAATAATGAGAGTTTATTTATCATGATCTAAATATTTATGAAAAATAACTAGGGTTTATTAATTATGATCAATGTTTTATATTAAGAAACAATCAGGATATTTATCAAATTAATTGGACAATTGAGGGTTTTTCGTGAGACCCGTAAAACAAATTCTCAACACTTGGATTAGATCTACAATCGTCAAATCTGAACATTCATAAACGCTACAAGACTTCTCAATAATCACAAAATTGTCACCGTACAACTTTAGACCGTTAGATCATTAATTTATAAAGTTAATCAATGAACATAAATTGGTCTTTCGGGTCTTACGAAAACCCTTTGGTCTCATGTGAACCCAACCCTATATATATATATATATATATATATATATATATATATATATATTGTTGGGTTTTCCATCGTATAATGTTTTCTTTTAAAATATTTAAATAATATCAGTTATTAAGAATTTAAAACTTTAGTTGAATTGAATACAACAAAACTAGATACAAATCTAGCTATCTAGCTTCAACATACCATCGACAAGAATAAATAGCACAATTTATTAGTTTCGTTAATAAAATCAAGAAAACTTCGTTACATTTTAAGACACATAAACCGAACAATCGAATATTATTAAACCGTATAAATCACCTATTTCAAGAATTCAAGAAAAGCCTAAACCCCAATTTTCAAAATTTTCTACTGATCATGTGTGTATTCACGCGGATTTCACGTTCCACCGAATACAGATTCAAGAAAAGAAAAATAAAAAAAGAAATGAAAAGAAAAGATCAGAGAGTGTGAAATTTGTGTTGTTCAAAACTATAATCCAAAACATGCGAGTTCGTTCATTGGTTAACCCAGCAAGAAAATCATCCATCTTTCCCACGCACCCATCTCGATTTTCTTCAAAATGCAGGGTTTATTCTTCGTTGTTTCCTCGCAAGAATCTTAGAGATCCCGCAAACCCCCGTCCCTTTTATTCAGATTCAAATTCATCATCATAATCTTCTTCTTAGTTTCAGATTCAGAAATGGGGTTCCTTACGTGGTACTTGAAGATGCTTGATGTTCGTCCGATCATCACAAAGAGTGTCTCCGCTGGCTTGATCTATGGAGCTGCTGATTTAACTGCACAGGTAAACTGAACTAAAACCCTAAAATTAAATCCTAGATTCGTGAATTTTATGTGTGTTTTTGCGAAGGAAACTAGCAATTTCGATTCATTAACTTCTGGGATTTTTATGATTTCTGTAATTCTATACACCCCCTACTCCAATCTAGATTTGGGTATACAAACATTATGATTGCAAATTCGTATTTAACCTAGATTTTTACATGTGAGTAAATATAGATATTAGTTTGTTCTTAGAAAAAGAAACCATTTCTGAAATTAGAAAGCATTCATTTGATACTTTCAAAAGCTTGTTGTTTTTGGTATGGAACTGAGTAATTAATGTTACATATTATAACCACAAGGGTGGTGCTGATTAGTTTGAGATTGACTCAAAATGTCAAAAGTACCAGGAGGTCCCAGGTTCAAATTCAAGGAGGAATAAAAATCCCCTTGTGTTCAAATTCAAGTTTGGTGCGGAAATTACTCAAGATCCATGTCTTAAAGAACTGGGATTGGAGTTGTTCTTAAATCTTAACTTAATATAAGCTGCGTTGATCGTATATCTTTATCCAAATTTTGTGTTTGCTATGATCTTTAACTGATTTAGACTCAATTATGCATCAGAGTGTGACCATGAGAGCTTCGGATTCTTTATACCTGATAAGAACATTACGGATGGCAGTGTTTGGGCTGCTTTTTTTAGGGCCAGCGCAACATGTGTGGTTTAATTTCTTGGGACGGATTCTACCAAAACGAGATATGGCTACCACCTTCAAGAAGCTAATTGTAGGCCAGCTCTTTTATGGGCCCTCCTGCACCGCTGTTTTTTTCACTTACAACGCGTTTCTTCAAGGTATATATATATATATAGCAAGATTTTGCAGTTACACTAAACATTGATCAGTTGCTTGCATTTCGAGTTTCAAGGAAAAAGGGAGTATGCATCAACGAAGGGTAACTACTAAGCAAATAAAACATGTAACCTGTAAGCGCCTTTGTATAGATAGATGTAGATAAACATGGTGATGTTTAAGCTAGGAAAGCATTAAAGTTTATATATCATTTCTAGGTAGATAAACCACTATACCTGTTGTGGTGGCTGTCAAGTCTGTATACATGTACCTTTTTGAGTGAATGTCAGGGCTGTATATATCTACCTTTTGGGTGTGGATGTCAGGTCTGCATGTATCTACCTTTTGGGGTGGATGTCTGGTTTGTATATATCTACCTTTTGGGAGTGAATGTCAGGTCTGTATACATCTACCTTTTGGGGTAGAGGTCAGATCTGTATACCTGGGTTGTTTGGTTTGGTTTGGTTTGGTTTGGTTTGGTTTGGTTTTGTATCGGATCTTTTTGGCATAAAGCTACTTGCTTTTTGATTCATTTAAGTAACATTTTGGTGCCAAATCCAGGTGAAAGTGGTCGCGAGATTGCATTGAGATTGCGGAGAGATCTTTTGCCAACTTTAACCGGTGGTCTTATGTATTGGCCGCTGTGTGATTTCTTCACTTACAAAATCATCCCTGTTCATTTGCAGGTATATATGTCGATCCACCGTCTCTTTTCTATTTTCAATTTCAAACGACATGAAATTAATGTAGAGACGTTTTATATCCGTTGGCAGCCATTAATCAATAGCGCATTCTCGTTTATGTGGACTATATATCTAACGTACATGGCGAGTTTGGAAAAGGCAATCAAAGCTTAAGTATTACCGTTCTATCGCTTTCAATCAGCCATACGATCTCTTCCTAAGTTATGGAAGTTCACATGGCTTTTAACGCAACAGAGATGGCACACGACGTTCTAGAGTGCAGGTATCGGCTCTAAGCTAGTTGTTAACTGAAAAACTAATTGTTGGCTAATAAAATAGTTGTTAGCTTAACAATGTTTGGTAAAAACTAGTTGATAAGCTAGATCATAATGTATGACATAAAAGGATACGTTGGAAATTTAATGTCGTTTTAACGTGTACGCAGGTGGATCGAATTCATGGAGGTATATGACAATAAAATGGGCGAAAAATGGTTGAGAGTCGTTTATGATTAAGGAAAAAATCTATGTGTTACTATAAAAATGGAAATGTTCATGAACTTTATTACCATACTAATAAAATGTTTGTTCTAGAAGATTCTTCAATGGCAATTTTGTCTTTTCAGCATGGCAAATCGGGTTGTTACTTGTTAGATCATACCTGCCAATGGTTCCTAACTGTCTACCATTTGAATTTAGGGGGATTTGACGAAAATACCCCTCAGGGTTTTGCTTGCTTTCTTAAGTATGTAGTAATTATATACGGCAAATGAACTCACGCACTCTTTTGACCTTTTGTGAGGTTTGAGCTTATGAACTTCTGAGAGGTTGTGCTCTACCGGTAACTGTGGGTAAAAATGGGTTTTTCTCATTTTGGAGCATAATTCTTGGAAATAAAAAAATCTCAATTTTTGTAGATTATTATAGTTTGATATTCTCCTCCATAATATCTTCGTTTCGAGACATTGAACGTCAAAAATGGACTTCGTATGGATGAGAAATTAATCAACAAAGTAAGGTATTAGAAAGGAAATGTAAAGTGGGTAAATGACTATTTGAGCCATCCCACATAGGAGGAAGAGTAAAAAAGAAAGAAGGTTTATAGCACCAAGGCTCTCTCTTGCGCGCGCAAAGGGGGATGCAAATGTGAACCGGAAATGACTTTGGTTAATTGAACTTGTGTGTAAGTGCACGTCCTGCGGACACAAATGCACTATTGGTCGACCAGAAAAGTTCAGACACATTTTTATTGATTATGGCTTATCGGTTACGAAAGTGGTTGTATAAATAAGACACTCCTCTAACCAGAAAAGATACTGGCATACATTCTGCCTCTTCTTACTTTTGTGTTAACGACTTGCTGTCAAGGTAATTTTCGGACCTTCTTAGGTTCGGCAAGACTTGTATCCTGGGAAACAAACGTTCATAATGGGACGAATTTGTTTTAAGGACACCGTGTTCGTCATATTGGTTTCATGATAATCATAGAAAAGTAAATCACATGTCCCATGTAGTCGTACAAGACAAAAGCCTCATGTTTCCAAATATGGTCTCTTAGGATATGTAAAATAAAAAAATCAGTATAAAACAGAAAGAGGCGTATGTATCATGTGATATTATGTGTCTGTGTGTGTTTGTTGTAACTTTCTAATACAAATTTTTTTTTACTATTTTTATCATGAACTGTTGTAAGGAATAATGGTAATCGGTTTGTGGTCCCCTGGCTTTACACATATCGCTCAAGATGAAGATGTTTTATGGACGGACACTTGTTTACTACATTTAGTTGGATTTTTCTAATTGAGTATGTTATACGTACACGTACTTATATTAAAATCAGATTAAATCATATATAGAAGTTGTAAAAAAAATAAGTCTTGTCATTGATGTATGTAAGAAAGAAATTAATATTTACATATGTGTTTAAGAAACATTAATGTAAAATTCTATGAAAGAGAGAAATAATATTTTATTATGAGCGTTGTTATATGTACCTCAGTTAATGTCAGAATCTGGTTAAATCATGTTTTTAAAATGTAAAAATAGGTTTTGGTTTGATGTATGAGAAGGAAATTAGTATGCAAGGATGCATTTAGCAATTAGCATTATTTTAATAATATAATTAATGTTGTAATCCCTAAAATGAAAAAATTGGTAAAGTTAAATGAAGTTTTGATTTTTTGTTTTTTTTTTTTTTTTTTGAAAATTTAAGTTCTGCATTCTACATTTTGATTTTTTAAATAGTATACTGATAATGGTTTAAGAACATCTCCGGTAGATTCTCTAAAATAGAGAAAATTAAGCCTTTGTTTTCTATTTTGCTCCAAAAGACTATCTATATTGTTCTACCTCTATTCTATGAAACATGGTGAAACAAGGTGGAACAGACTTATGTTTTATCAATATAACCTCAAAATAAAACTTAATTCTCTTTTAAAACATCAAATAGGTCTTCTTTTTATATTTTATTCATTCTTTAAATTTTATTTATTGTATTTT